GGTAAGGACGATTTTCCCTTTACTAGAGAAGAAAGGTGGTCATCAGAAAGGTTAAGTGCCTTACTCAAGAGCATGGGAAAGTGGCAAAATGAGATCAAAACTCCCTCTTCCAGGATTCTTTCTCTACATCTCCACTGGCCTTCCTCCTGATCGCACTGGCACAACACACATCTAACATCCAAAGGAGAGCCAACTTCACTAGATCTCTGCTGAAGTGCTGATCTTTAAAGCTGTGGTGAAGCTCATGGCTCTCACAGATTTTCTTACGATACCAGAACTCTCTCTCAAAACTTTGTCCCTCTAGAACGATTAGTAATTACAAAGTCTATCATTTTATTATTCTGTTAAAACAGTTTTCAGTTACCTTATTCTTTTTCATCTACTTTGCCTTTCTCTCTCCGCTCCCAATCTCCACTCCCCTGGTTTCTGTCTATTTAAGGGATTCAATTTCAGTATTTTCTTGTCTTTTTACTACATTAGGTTTCTAAGCAAGTATGCATCAAGTCCTTAAGCAGTTGGAAATATATTTATATACTGAAAAGAAAAATAAAGAAAACTTCCGACGTTCCTGTAGCTTTGGAATGCTGAGAGGTCACGCTATCATCAGGGAGCCAGCCTTAGAAGAGAGAGGGCTTATTTGTGCACCTTGCATCTTTTATAGAGAGAAACAATAGCCGGCTTTCTCGGCTCGGGGCTCTTGGCGCCGCCCAGTGGAGGGAAGCGCCTTTGCACTTCAGTCCCGTCAGTTGGCATTGTCATCATGCGGACACTTACAAACGTTCAAAACAAATATGATAGGAAGAAACACCAGTTCCAAATTCATCGTAATCTATAGGTGCATTTCTTCAAAGTTCACTTCCTTTAAAAAACTGATGCTCCAGTTTAAACACAACCCCAAATCTCGCTTGTTAAAGTGAACGAAGGAGACTATGTGTATTAAGGAACAAAACTTGTTAAAATACATGAATGTTTGAATCATTATTTGTGGTGGGGAGGGAGCACCTTAAGTGGTAATCAGGACTAACGTGTCCTTCAGAGCAGAAGGAAAAGTTTGTTTTCTATTATCCACATTTGGCAAATAACTGCTTTCTGTGTAAGAATTCCAGAATCTTCCAAAAATTAAAGAGTTTTTTTCTTCGTCTTTTTTTTTTTTTTTAAGGAAATGAAGGCCTGAAAGTGGAGATCATTTTCAAACTTATGTCTCTTTAGGGACTATATTTATTTTACCTTAAATTCAGTGGTAAAATCTGAGATTAAATCCAGTTAATGCATTTCTTTTCCTCTGCATGGGCATTGAAAGTGTGATTAGTCTACACCCTGTTCTATTTCTGAATTTATATTTTTTAAATAAAAAGTTAAGTATGTTTGCTCTGCTAGAAAGTATATGACTTCTTGGGCGTATAGATTATATATACTCTCAGAGAAGAAAACAATGGCAAAAGAGGAATGGAGAAAAAAGAACTGAAAAAAGTTAAGAAACAAAAGCCCAGCTCTGAAGAATTTGATTTTCATTAAGTTTGTGGTCTGGTCTTTGAGTCCCTCTTTTGGATATTCAGGCCCCCACTAGCATATCCTCTCTGGTAGGAACCCAAAGATAGGAGCCTTGATAAAAGTCAAGGTTATATTATCCCCTCACAATTGTGATGTGGAAAGCTGATCTCCTAACACCCCACCCAAAGAAACCTCCCATGATCTTAACCTTTTCTTAAGAAAACATGATCTGAGACCTTCACAAGGTGGGGCCTACTGGGCTTCCGTTTTCTTTGCTTCAGAGTTTTCATAAAAGGAACACTACTCTTCTCAAACTCTCACCTTACGCTCACCCTTTCTTTTTAGATTTCATTTTTTTCGTAGGGTCATATTTCTATCTCCCTTGCTAATGTTGGAATTATTCCAAGCAAAAAATCCGTTAAACTGCCCAACACAAGCCGTGCGGTCAGCCTTTTGAGCTCATGAGTCATTTTAGGCGTCGGAACAAAACAAAAACAGGCTTAAATGAATTATTTATCAAGGTCGAGAATAACTGATTTGTGCAGTGCCCTTAGTTCTGGACCTCAAATTTGTTTTCTCCTCCTCCCCACTTCCCACCCAGAATAGTCAGCGAGGGAAATGCGGGTAGAACCCCAGGTTTGGGAGGAAACGCACTCCATCTGGGGAGTGGCAGGTGATGTCAGAATGAGAAGAACGCCAATTGAGATTTGGAGGGAGAATAATGTGTAGCATACACCTGTAGTCTCGGGCCGTCCCAGCGCCCTTCCCACAGAAGCCAACTGTGCCAGGGGTGCGCGAGGGTGTTGGGCTCCGCGGCCTTATGGGTGGGACACTGCGGCCTTCTGCAAGAGAGATGCCCGCGCAAGTCCCGGGCCGGTGGTTTCGAAATACCCGCCGCTGGCAGGCCGAGACTCGGTTGGCAGGCTCCCAGGAGGGTCTGGTCGCTCCAAAGGCGGCGGAGTCAACCCCTCTCCAGCATCATGCAGGCCCTCTGCGTCTTCCCAAGCCAGAGGAGCTCAACCCCAGCCGGCCGGCCCACCGCGCGCCCCCCGAGGGGCTCCCCGCACGACCTCCGGCCCTCTAGGGCCTGTGCCTGCAGCTCGCCCCGCGTCCCCGCCTCGGCTCACCAACCCCGGCTCCTCCGCCAAACTTCCCTCGCCTTAAGAGAAAAGCGAGAGCTGCCCGGATTGTACATCTCCTCGCCTTGGTCTTTTCCCTCCCTGCTGTTCTCCTCAGAGACAGAACCGTGAAAAAACGGCACAAAATAAGAAACAGCTCAACACACCCTCGAAACAGCGCGGGCTTTTTTCTGGGTCAAACACAGCGAATTCCCTAGGAAAGCGCAGGAAGGACGACTCTCCAACCTCCCCCCTCCTCCCTCCCCCCGGACCGAGGGTTCACTTGGGTGCAGTTGGGACAGAAAGGAGGTATCTTGTCCCAGGAGGTCTTTTGCCTCCCTGACACCACCCAGTCCCCCGTCCTCAACGGAGAAAATCTGTTCCACGGAAAGGGACCTTCAGAACTGCAACTAAACCCCAGATTTCGGCCCAGCCCTTGGAGACTTTAAAGGCCTTTTTCTAACATCGTTCTGCACCTAGTCACGGAAGCGATGCCAGCCATTCAGATTCATAGGGTTCTTAAAATGGTAATTTGGAGTAAAATGTAACTCAAAGAACTTTGAATCATTCATTAGCACCTTATAATTACTCCGCTAATTAGGTTGACACGGCACTTAATCAGGAGTAATACGCCGTCTTGTCACTGGCACTTCCCATTACTCTGACATTCAACAAGAGACAGGTTGGAGACGTCCTAGAAAAAATAATGTAAGTTGATACCCTCCGACGAGGCGTCACAGTCATGCCACGCTCCAGGTCCCAAGTGGATCCACAGTGACTGTTTCCTTTCCAAATGAGCGGCCCGATGGGGGGGCAGAGGGAGAGAGGGAGAGAGGGAGAACTGGCTGGTAGCGAGGCGGAGTGCGTGCTGCGGACCCGCCACCTGGGTTCCTGAGCCCCGTGCCAGCCTGACAGTGCCGTGAACCATCGCCGCCCTTGCCACTAGAGAACGCCTCGGGCATTATTTACCCCGCTCGGGAGAAAGTGTCTGGCCAGGCATTTCTTCCAGCACGGGCCCTGATTGGTGACCAGACTGCGTCCGCGGTTTGCAGCAACAGGCCCGTTCCCCCCCTTCCCCCACCCCGACCCGGCTTCCCGAGAGTGCAGGGTGGATGCGCTCCATCCCCTCTCAGGGACCCGCCGCCTAGGGGGCCACAGCTTGGGCGCCTGGGCCATTTGGGGGAGAAATCAGAGCTCGCAGTCCTCCCGCCCAGCCAGAGGTCCGGCTGCTGGAGTTACACACTTTGGCGTGGATTCCTTCAGGGATCCCCCTCCTCTGCTCTCAGTGTCCTTGGCCTATACCCGCGGGTGTTTGGGGATGCTGCGAGGGCGGCCGCGCGGGAGTCTAAAGGTAAGCCAGCCAGATTCCTTTTCCCTTACTGTCCTCTTTCTCCTTCCTCCTCGGACTTCTTAGGAAAACGGACAAATCTTTACTTGGATTTTTTTGGTTTTTAATTTTACCCCCTGGGTTCCCTTCTCTAGTCTACCTCTGCTCTCCTCTCCTCTCTGCCTTTGCCCTCACGCGTGATTGCGGACACCGGGAATCACTGCAGGACTAGGTGTTCGGCTCGGGCTGCAGGCAAAGGGTTGAGCAGGTTCTCAAAAGAGCAGCGGGGCCCGAGCCGCGCTCGCTGACGGGCTCGCGAGTCGCGCGTCCATTGGCTCCCAGGACGTCGGCGTCGCTCGCTCGCGCGGGCGCGGCCAATGGGAGCGCGGGGCCCCGCGCGCGGCCTCGGCGGCGGGGGCGCGGGCCCCGCGCGGCGCGGAGAGCGGCGGCAGTGGCCGTGACGTCACGTGAGGGGGTCGGCGCCGCCCGCTAGCAGCCGGATTACAAGCGAACGCGCCCGGCAGCGGCCGGAGTCGCTCGGCGCCGCGTCTCCGCCGCCTCCTCCGCCTGCGCCTGCTCCTTCTTTTCCTCCTCTTCCTCTCCGTCTCGTGTTGCCGCGACCTCTGCGGCGGTGTCTGCTCCGCAACTTTCCGAGAAAGTTCAGAAACTCGGCTCCAGGGCGGCCGAGTCGCGCGCAGCAGCCACCTCGGGGAGCGGCCCGGGAGCTCCGGGGGCGCGCGACCGCCAGGGCGTCGCGGTCGCTGCACCTGCCAGGTCCGCCGCCGCCGCTGCCGCCTGGTGCCAGGCTGTGGGCAGCCCCAGGCGGCGGCGGCAGCGGCGGCGGCGGCGGGGTCACCTCCCGCCGCCTGCGTCTTCGTCTGAGTCCCCTGCGCCGCCACCGCCGCCCCCACGTGCGCGGTCGTTCCCGGAGCGCAAGCTCGGTTCTTCCTCAACAATTTTTGTAACTTTCCCCCGCTCTCTTCCTTTCTCCCCTTCTCCCCACCCCTACTTTATGAATAAGGAAAACAAAGTGTCGAAAGTGCCCACCGATTGCCACCCCACCACCCATGATCCTTCCTTCCCTTCCCGCCCCACTTGTTTTGTTTTTTTAAAGCCGCGACAACATTGTTTAGTGTTTATTTTGTTTTACGATCGATAGCTTCCTTTGCTTGGTCGGGGCGGCTGCTGAGCGGCGAAGTGGCGTGGACCTCATGTAGAAATGACAACAATGGAAGGGGCCAGCGGGTCGAGTTTTGGAATAGACACGATTTTGTCCAGTGCCAGTTCGGGCAGCCCCGGCATGATGAATGGAGATTTCCGCCCGCTTGGCGAGGCCAGGACCGCGGATTTTAGGAGTCAGGCCACTCCGTCCCCCTGTTCGGAGATTGATACCGTAGGAACGGCGCCTTCTTCTCCCATCTCGGTCACCATGGAGCCCCCGGAGCCGCATCTGGTAGCAGAAGGGCCCCAGCATCACCACCACCTCCACCACAGCCAGCCGCCGCCGCCGCCCGCCGCGGCCCCCACGCAAAGTTTGCAGCCTTCTCCCCAACAGCAGCCGCCGCCGCCGCCGCCGCCGCAACCGGCCCAGCAGCTGGGCTCGGCCGCCTCGGCCCCCAGGACTTCCACCTCTTCTTTTTTAATTAAGGACATCTTGGGCGACAGCAAACCTCTGGCGGCGTGTGCACCCTACAGCACCAGCGTGTCCTCTCCCCACCACACCCCGAAGCAGGAGAGCAACGCAGCACACGAGAGCTTCAGGCCAAAGCTCGAGCAGGAGGACAGCAAAACCAAACTCGACAAGCGGGAAGATTCCCAGAGCGACATCAAATGCCACGGTGAGTCGCGCCGCGTCGGCCGCCCGAGCCATCTGGCTGCTTCTCGTCCTCGGGTTCTCGGTCTCCCCTTCAGACTCCCGCGCACCTCGGCTGCGGAGTTACTCCGGGAGTTCCTGGGGCGATCGCACCCCGGTCAAAAACTGCAAGCGGGAGGGAGGCCTGGGCATGCGACACGAGGACTGGTCCGAAGTTCGGTTTATTGTTACAACCTTCACCGCCATCCTGCTCCTTTCTTTGTTTTCCTTAATTTCAATTTATTAGGGATAGGGCGGAGGCGGAGGGGATCTGAGCGCAATTCTTTCGTTGATAAAAGGGAAGGACTGGAGATTTTTCTAGCTGAGACCTGGGGGGTGGGCATGAGGGGAGGTGGGAGAGAGAAACGGGCTTAGCTAGCGTGGTGTCTAGGGGTGTGTTCACGACGTGGCGTTTATTCTTTAATGCAAATTATTTCAGTCCCCCCACACACTGCATTTTCTAAACATCACAGGAATTACCAGATTTAATGAAGAAAAAATTTCCGAGTTGATTACCAAAACAACTTTTTTTTTTTATTAGATGGTGATTAATATAGGGAAGCCCCTATGGTAAAAATTTATAATCGGTTTCTCCGTTTTTAAAATACCCTTCTTACTCCATGGCCCCAACCGAGTATTTGTATTTCAGTAAGATTTTGTTTCCCTGCAAGTAATTGGGAAATCGCATTTATGAAAGTAAAATCTTGTGGAACTGGATTTATTTATTTTTGTAAAATCAGAAGATAGCAGTTGAAACTGTGCTTCAATTCCTTTTCCCATTTTCTCCTCAATTTCGTAAGGAAGTGTTCTGGTCTTTGCACGATAAAAGAGTTTTAACATACCAGGAGAATTCTTTTTTCTCCTTTACTAATAAGTTTATTACTGTTACTAGTATTAACCTTTGCCATCTCTGGGAAAGATGTGTGCTGACTATCTGAAAGGTAGGATATTGGCTCCTCATTTTACTATTATAACATTAGCATAATAGTGCCCAAAACAGATGTACAGTCTGGTCTGGCGATTTTTTGTGCACCAACCTCCCCAGTGGGTCAATTAGAGAGATTATTGTTCTTCCTGCAGGGAAGATCAAGGAGCGCAGCAAAAACGGGTACAAACAGAGAGGGATTGACATATCGATTTCCCAGCATTTCAGTAAAAAACCAAAGTTGACAAATAGAATCCGGAAATCTCTGGGCTGTCACCTGGATGGGCTCAGTGATTTTGAGCTCTACTTGGTGGCTGGGTGACATATTCTTTCTGAAGCTTTAAAAGACTTGACGCAAGCAACTGCAGGGAACTTGATTCCACCATTTCCCAAGTGCATCTGAAAAGGGAAAACAAATGCCTATAACTTTTAGTAAACAAAAAGTGAAATGAAAAAGGTGCCCCTTCCTCAAAAACAAAAACAAAAACAAAACAAAACACAACAACAGAGTAGAAAGATATTTTGAAAAGTACCAAATCAGAAAAAATGAAGTCATAGTGAAAACAGTAAAGGAATGGGACAGGATCTCCCCCTCCCCCCCATGAAAGAAACAATAACAAAAGGACCCTATATTGTAAAATATTTTTTTCTTTTTAACTTCCAAAGATGAGAAGATCAGACAACCTTTTAGAACCCTTTTAGGAGCTCTGCACAAAGTTCCAGACTCTTTGGCCAGAAATTGGTTCTCTTCCTCCGTATTGGCTAAGGTCCAAGTTTGTGTGTGATGAGGGTGGCAGAGTATAGTCCCCCAAGACCAGCAGCTGGCTTGGGAATGTGGAAGTGTGTGCCAGGAGGACACACCACCCTTCCCATTCCACACTATCTTACGACTCTGGGTTTCTACCATAGGAACAAAGGAAGAAGGAGACCGGGAGATTACGAGCAGCCGAGAGAGTCCCCCTGTGAGAGCCAAAAAGCCTCGCAAAGCCAGAACAGCTTTCTCTGACCACCAACTCAATCAACTGGAGCGTAGCTTTGAGCGGCAGAAGTACCTGAGTGTGCAGGACCGCATGGACCTGGCAGCAGCGCTCAACCTCACGGACACCCAAGTCAAGACCTGGTACCAGAACCGCAGGTAAGGGATGCTGGGGGGGGGGGGGGCAAAGGCATCGGGCCATCGAGGTCCCGACCACTGCAGCGCCAGTCTTCTTCCCTCCTGGCTCCGGGAGACTCCAGGGACTCAGAGGCCCCAGAGTGGGCCCCTGGGGGCTTTCAGGCTGGAGCAGGGATTAACCACACCCCCAAGGTGAGAGGGACTGATAGGCAGCTGGAGTTTGGAACATTTTGCACTTCTGAGTGTCTTAGCATATGCTACTTTTCCTCTCAAATCCGAGTGGCTGGAATCCCTCCCCCCACTTTGCCCCCAAATCGATCAGGCCACACCTTCTCAAATTGAGACATCTGTGCAGCTGACACTCAGGTCCATAGAGCCTGCGCCATGCCCCCTTTGGGCCTGCCCCCGGCTGGTTCCGAATGTCTGCAGCTGGCCACGCAACCTGGCTATTGCGATCCAGGAGGAGCTGCCCCACTGGCCTCAGCTTAAATGTCCTTGCCTTGGCTTCTGAGGCAGCCAGCCAGGCATCCAGACTGAGGGTCTGTCCCCTATATTTGTCACCTCAGAGCCTGCCAGGAACCACTGCCTCCACTGAAAGGAAATTCGGAAGGGGGTTGGCAGCACGGGCAGGTGCCTGAACGGTAGAGCGAACCCAGGCAAGCTGAGGCTGAAGTTGTGCTGTGTTTCCAAGCCTGGCAGTAGACAGTCTTGTCCCGATTTTTTTCTCCCCCTCCTTTTCTCTCATTTGTCTTCTAATCGTCCATAAGTGCGGTTGGAAATGCCCATCCAGTTGTCATCTTTACCATAATTTTCTGTCTCATTACATACGGTTTCAGCCACCCTAATTCTGTCGGAAAACATTAGTGTCATTTGTAGCCAATTTAAAATGGGCGACATGTTTATTAATTTGGCTGAAGCTGCCGGGTATGGATGGCCCACCAGCCCTGAGTTCCTTCATGGGGCATTTGAGCAAAGGCCTGCTCGCCTCTTCTTCCTGGCGGGGTACCGTGGGGGAGGGAGGAAACCGAGAAAAGCTGATCACAGGTTTTAATTGTTACTCTCTCTCAGAGGAGAAAATACCTTGAAATGCATTTCCCACCCCCTACCCCCTGCCCTGAAATGGCCCCGAGGTGCTGTCACCTTGGGAGAGCCCTCCCTCAAACAAATTCCATTTTGAAACCTTGGTGCCTTCCTTGCTCCAAGCTCCCCACCCGCTCTAAAGTCCTGTCAGGCTGAGGAGAGGGATGTGTCTTCACAGCTCTGGGGACTAAGAGGGACAGGGTCCGAGGCTAAGGAGTCTCTGTGTCCTTTTGTTTATGGTTTCTTCTCACTCGGCCTGGAGGAAAGGGGGAGGGGCAGAGAGTGGACACTCTGGGATTGTGGGGGGCCACTTGGGGGAAAGGAATTAGAGGAGGAGGGAGAAGACCGCCTATAGATGGAAAGAGTGGTCTCCGTTGGCCTTCAGGAAAGTTTCGGGAAGTAGCCCAATTATAAGGGGGCTACAGCAGAACAGAGGGTCAGGAAGAGGCAGCAAAGCTTATAGAATTTCACTTATGAATGTCTCAGACGTTGAGGGTGTAATTTATGAAATTGACTTGAATTTGGGCCCTTCTGTGGGCGAGAGGGTGGGGAGGAGGGCTAGGAGATGTGGTTCATTCCCGGTTCTCAGAACTCTCGCCGTCCTCCTGTCCCCGGAGAAAGAGGAGCGGGCAGGGGGCGAGAGAGGAAGGGCCTGGGTGCCAGGGCTGTGCCTACAGCTGGGAGGGGGGCGTGCACGCCCGCTGTTTTTCAGGACCAAGTGGAAGCGGCAGACCGCGGTGGGCCTGGAGCTGCTGGCCGAGGCGGGCAACTACTCGGCCCTGCAGAGGATGTTTCCGTCGCCTTATTTCTACCACCCGAGCCTGCTGGGCAGCATGGACAGCACTACGGCCGCCGCGGCTGCCGCAGCCATGTACAGCAGCATGTACCGGACTCCTCCCGCACCCCATCCCCAGCTGCAGCGGCCCCTGGTGCCCCGCGTGCTCATCCACGGCCTGGGGCCCGGGGGGCAGCCGGCCCTCAACCCCTTGTCCAACCCCATCCCAGGCACCCCGCACCCCCGGTGAAGAATGAGCGACTGACGGCGCTGCAGTCCCTTCCCGTCCCTTCCCCTCCCCGACCGACCGGACAGCTGCCCCTCCGCTCCGCTCCCCGCACCAGGCCGCTGGGCCTCCCTCGGGAGCGACCCCGGGAAGCGGAGCAGTAAGAGAAGAAGCCGCTCACCAGTGGGAGGGGGGCCCCCCAAAGAGGAACCAGCCCTCCGCTCTCTATCTCCCCACCCCCAGAAACAGGGCTGGAAAGCTCCCCACAGCAGTGTGACTGGCGATATCGCTGACCCCACACAAAGTGCGACCAGTAAGTGAAAGCATCAACAAAAACAAAACCTCAAGCTCTTTTTAAAAATGACTTTAGGGACAAGCAGGAGGGAGGGAGGGGGGAGGGGTAAGGAGGGAAGAACGAAGGGCACGGAGAGGAAGCCGGAGAAGCAGAGAGAATTGTAGATGGACAGACAGCCTCAAATTCTGAGGCACAGGGCGTTGCTGTGGACATTAGGTCTGCCCCAGAGAAAAGAGGAGGGTAACTGAGAACTTTGCACTGATTTCTCATGACCTTTTTTCTTTTGGAAAAGTGGCATGCTCCATAATATGAAAAAAAAATGTACATTTGAAAGACTGAGTGATAAGTGATATATCATATTTATTATATGTTGTCCAAAAAAGAGTCACTTATATACGTTAGTAAAACATGATTTTTCTTTTCATGTCTTTTTGATTCAGTAAAATAAATGCTTAGACAAAAATATAGATTTTTTTGTGATTGAGAATTACAAAAATAAAGTTTATCTTTTTTTAACAAGCGATGAAATTCAAGGGAGCTGATTTTACTAAAGCAGAATGTACTATGATGAAATGCCTGACTTGGTTTAGGGGAAAAAAAATCCCTCCTGTAATATTAGGAATTTATAAACTCTGTAAAGACTTTGGGTTGACTTACATAAAAACAGCGCCAGTTTTCCTGCTGGCCTCTTCCGAGCCGAGCCATTATTTGATGTGTGAATTCCTTTCTTTTTAAGTGGATGATTTCAGAGCAGTCCACCCGGCCAGGGGGGAAAAGTCTCTGCTTGTGGGCTGTTGGTGCTGGCTAAGTGGGCCGCCAACTTGCCCTGCTCCTGGCCTGCCTGGAAGCCCCAGCCAAACCGCGGCTGTCTGCCCCTCCTCCTCCGGCTCCTAGGGCTCTTCCCCGGGGCAGTGAGGGTCCCCGGCGCCGGGCAGCGGGCGGGTGGATGCTCCTCGGGCCTCGCAGCTGTTCTGCAGCCCGCAGCCCGGTGCCCACGCGGCAGGCCAGCCTGCGAGCGGGCGGCTGCAGGGAGCGCAATTAGGACGCCCCGGGGACTCGGAGAGGCCCGGCTAACAAACCCTCGTTGCGTCTTTGATCCTTGCCTTCTCATTCCCCAGCGGTCAGCCAGCCCCCAGCCCTGGCCGAACCTCTTGTCCTAGAAAGTTCGTTGTGCTGGGATGCCTTGGAGCAGGGATCCAAGTCTGGCCAGGACAGGTGTGCCAAGCTTTTTATCAGCATCCTTGCAGGGCTTGGGACCATGAAACGAAAGGCCCTGTCCAGAGGGTGGAGGAGGTCCACAGCCTGCCCTAGGAATGTGTGTGTGTGTGTGAATGGGTGTGCAAATACTGGGAGCACCTCTGCCAGGGCTGCAGGTGCACCCCCCCAGATTGGCTCCCCACTAGGCTCAGCATTCAAGACTATGTAAGGGAACAACTGAACAGGGTTTCAGTTCTAGGTCTGCTTCCACTTTCTCCAGCCCCAGGGTCATTTTCTGAAGAGCCAGAGTCAGATCCCCCAGCTGGGTATTCTCACATCTCTAGCCTCACGCCTGCCCAAGTACAGTGTCAAAGGGCTAAAACAAGCAGCTAAAACACATCCAGACCCATCCTTCAACTTTCTCTGATGTTGAACCTTAGTAGAGTTAAAAACATTTTTTAAAAAGTGGAGTGCTGTGGGAGTGTGTATTGGGGAGGGGTGGGAAGGAAGAAGGGAAGAAAGAGGTGAAATCCAGGAGGAAATTGCCTCAGGCGCCTTGATCAGACCTTGGCTAATTAGGGAGTGGTTTGCAGATTTCTATCTAGCTCATCAATTTGCTTTAAAAGTGGTCTTGGTCTTGTTTGATTCTAACAAAAGGGTCTGGATTGGCTCTTCTCATTTTCTTCAGGCTGAGTCGGGGCAAACTCAAGACAGCTGGGTTGGGTTGGAAACTGGGCGCCACTGTGTCCAGTGGGGAATGCCCAATGCCTGGGCATTCTAGCAGACTCACCTTGTTCCATCTTAGCTGCTGTTGGGTTTTACAATCAAGTTTAAATAGTTCAAAAATGGTCTGCCTGGGCCTAAAAAGGCACTCTCCAAGGCTGGGGGTGCGGTGCACTACAGCTTTCGTCTGCACTTGTCCCAGGGCCAGTCACCTTTGGGCACAAGAGGGACCTGGGAAGTCACTGGAGTTCACACATCACACATTGCCTATGAAGAATGATCTCAGGTCCAGTTGGGAAAAATGCATGAACAAACTTACAAATACAAACAAGGCCATAGCACCCATCCGCTACCAGCAGCTGGCCAACAGCTCACCAGCCACTCTGCGGAGGAGCCAGCCTGCTGTCCCTTCACTCTCAAGGCTGAACTTGGACTCCATAGGTGGACAATGCAGGGGGGCTCACTGTGTCTATAGAGGCCAAGGTTTCTTAATTATCCTTATATTCCACTGCTGTTAGCCATGACTCTGGGTCCACCGGAGTCCTCCTAAATTTGCTTTTCTTCAAAGCCATGTTTTCTTCAACTCCCTTAAACTGGGCAGCTAAAAGTGTCGATTCCCCTCTAAATGTGTTTTGGTTACTCCCCATTGTATAGAAGTTGGCAAATCGGCTGTTGGGGTGGGTGTTGCTTCAGGAAGAAAACTGAGTGGCCGAATTTCTTTTCATTCTTTTCTTTCTGCTGCAGTACTGCGAAGAGCATCTTAGCTGGTGCCCTTCTATTCAAACGTCCCCAACTACTGCTTAAAAGTCAAATGCAAACACATCCTTTTCCTCAAAAGGGGTCTCTCTGTTCTTCTGTGCTTGCCCAACAAAGATGGGGGTTGGCTAAGAGATGAGGAGTGCGACCCTAGGTTTCCTGAAAAGCAAGGAACAAAGATGACAGGCAAAGGTCTTTTCTCATGGGAGATGTGGAGTCAGTTGTGGAGGCCCAGAGGACAGCTGTCCCTGGGAGCTGTGCTCCTTTTCTTTTCCCCTAGTTTCACTTGGTGTCTGAAGGGCACTCCACCGTTAGACTTTATTTGGATTGGTCCTGTGATTAAGTTGGGGACTTGCAAAACAGGGGCTTGGAGTGGCAATCTTTGCTTCCTATAGAAACCCAGGAAAACGAACTTGTTTCAGAGAGGTCTTTAAACATCCACGGTGACCCCTTTAGATTTGCCCACCCGCATGTCAGCTCCAGGACCCCAACTAACCTAACAGAAATCTGTAGTGAGTGGGAAGTGAAAAGTGGACTCCCTGGCCAGCAGCCAGCCAGTCTAGTCCAAGCCAGCAATTTTCAAGGAGTTGTAAAGTAACGATTGCAGCTTGTCTCTAGCCTCCAGCAAATATACCTACCACCTTGTATCAGTTTATTTTTGCTCCACCCTTTAAAATGAAAGCCCACACAACGGCAAATTAACGGATTTCCTCTGTTGCAAATAAAACCCACTTACCCTCAAACCAAGACTTCCCTCCTCCTCTCTCCCTGCCATCTGACTCCTTGCCTAGACAGCCCTTCCCCAGGAATCTGCTGAATTCCACCTCCCCTTTTTAAACGGGTGGCTTGCGAGTAGTTTGTTTTGTTACATTTTTAACTTTCTAAAAATATTTGGAAAAGCTCTCCCCAGGGCTAAGGAAACTTTAGTTCCTGTTAAGCCACGTGGTTACAAAAATATACTGGAAGAGAGCTACTTAGTTTTCTAAAAAGCCAGGCATGGCTTGAAGTCAACATGCTCGGGAAGAGACTGAATTTTCAAAACTACTGGTGGGAATGGGCAAGGGCAGGTTGGAGACTCCAAGGGGACTGATGTTTGCCGCAGAGCTCTGAATCCTTGGTGAGGGAAAGCTGGTTGTTGCCTTGGCTGTCGATTAGAGAGGTGTGGGCAGAAGGATGAGTGGGGGCTTTCCCAGGGTTTACCCCCATGGACCCTGGAAAGTGTCTCTAGGCTCCTTGAGTCTCCCACTAGGTCTTTGTCTGGTCCCACTTTCTTGGCCAGTTCCCAGCCTGCCTCTCTACCGCTTGATTCTTTCCCTGGAGTTGGGGCGCACGGCTAGGGCCCACTGCCCCTCCCTTCTTACTTCTGGCAGGCTCAACACCCCCAAGGCTGAGTGGGGGTAAGTGTGTAGGGTTGAGGGTGTGTGCTTTCAGAGAGAGGGAGGTGTCACTGGCCTCTTGCATTGGAGAAACAGGTCAGCTGCCTCAGGGCGATGCGATGACCCAGAAGGGACTTTTTTCCTTCCCTCCTTCCGGCTGAATTTTGAAGGTCTTTATCGGTCTGAGTGTTGCTGGGTGGGACTGTCTTGGCCAGCACGGCGTTCTCAGTTTCCTTCTCTGCCTCTCCCGGGCTCTTCCCCGGGGCCTCGCTCTCCCGAGTGCTCTCTCCTAGCACCACAGACAGCTCCCGGGGCGCGCGGGGAAGCGTAGCGCTGGGGGCTGCCGGGTTCCCTGCGAAGCCTAGGCGACCGCGAGGGGAGCGCCGGGGAAGGGTCGACGGCGCCCGCGGGGGAGGTCCGCGAGGTGATTACAAAGAGCCCTCCCTGGCAGCGTTACCTGATTAGCTCTAAGTCCAAACAGGGTCACATTCCAAAGAAGAAAATCTTCAGATCAATAAAGTAATTCAAAAACGCAAAGATCTCGGGGTAAGTAGTGCTCAGTGACAGATCAACTCTAAACCGTCCCTATTTAATAAGTTCTTAGTGGAAGCCGGCTGGGGAGGAGCGGGGCCTCAGGTCTGCGGCTTCGAAGCCCTTGCGCCGCGGCCGCAGCGAGGTCGCCAGTGGAATCGCTCTAAATGGCACTTTTTACTCCCTCCGCTCGCGCTGCCGGGACTGCTCCGCGAGCCGCCGCCTGGGTCGATGGAAGCCCAGGAGAAGCGCTCCCAAGGCGGGTGGAGCGGGTCCTCCTCCCCGCAGTCCTGGGAGTCTCCCGGCTTCGGCCACTATCCGGTCCAGGACAGCGAGCGGGTCGCCTCCGCGGGAGCTCCACCGAAAGAAGAGGACCTTCCAGCGCGCGAGATTGAACTTGATTTACGATAAAAGGGCTTTGTCACTTTGTGGAGCTGATG